GACGCGTCCGTCGTCGTGATTCTTAATACTAATTTTCAAAAGTTCTCTCTCACCAGCGTCTCACCATACATCTGTACAATCATTTCTACAATCGCTCTTTCCATTTTAATCCATTTTCTTCGACAAATATTCGCCCGACTATTCAAAATATATTCCTACATCCATTATTAAAATCTCGTCGTGTTGGAGAGAGAAGAGAAAGAAGCACTCGACGATCCCCTAATTGTCCCCTCCAGCTTCGCTACAACTTCCAGGGGAGCGAACAAACGACTTTCCCCTTCGTCCAAAAACGAAGAAAGAAAAAAAGAAACGGGGCGCGAGAAAAGAAGGGAGGGGAGGGAGGAGGCAATAAGAAGGCGAGAGCGATTAGTTGGTATAAATCTCGGCCGCGGCTGTGGATAGATTTATAGCACGCCCTTCCGACTCGCTAAGCAATACATTTTCTTTTCGCGTCCGCAGATACGCGATACCCCTCCTCCTCCCCCCCTCTCGATCAACAAACCCCGGGACCACCACGCCCACGCGGTCGAGCTACTAATATTAAGAACGCCGGAATACGATTCATTTACGCCCACAAGTTCGGTTTATGAATGAACCGTTTAAAGATCGAACGAGTGGGACGAAGGGGTCAATGGGTGGCTGGGCCCGGTAGCCGCCATGTTGACGCTATCTCGAGCTACGTTGAAATATTGCCCCTTCGTTCCAACACGGTTCCAACGAGTAACACGAGTTGCGGGCAAAGGTCATAAGCTTGAGAATTTGCATCGTGGAAAACAGGGAGACACGGTGTGTGTATATTTTGAAAGAAGGATCGAAGATTCTTTTTCGAGTTGGATCGAAGATTGACAGGTGAAGTGCTTTAAGAGAAGATGATTAAAATGTTATTTGGTTTGTGCTTTTTTCGGGACAAATAATGTCAAACTCGTTACGTGGAAGAAAGTAAAATCGTTCGTGATGAATATTGTGTCGATGTTATTAGCAGCAAAAGTAAGAAAAATAAATTTTTGTTTAACAAATCGAAATTTTACGAAAGAAATTGGAAAAAATTTTCAAGAGGTAAACTAGAAATTTGTAATACTTAAAAAAGTATTACTTTTAATTCTTTTCTTCTAATTCTACGTAATTATCCTACTTTTTTAAATTACAAATTATAA